GCCCCTCCCCCCCTGGGTCCCGGGTCCCTGCAAGCGCGCGGCTGGCTGTCCGCCTTCTCCTGCCTTGGCGGGGCTGCGATTTCACGTCCTGGGGCCTTCTCGCTGCCTTTTTATTTTGCTTTCGTTGCAGTTGGGTGCAGAAGGCTCGGGAGAAGTGCAGGTCCCGCGGAGGGAGCTTTGGGGACGAGGCAGTAGGACACGCACAGGACCAGCAGGTGGTGCTGCCTAGAAGCCCTGCTTCCAGACCCAGAAGAAGCCCTTGGATGGGGGGAGAAGAGCCCTTGCCACAATACTGCTTGTTCTCGGTTAAAAAAAAAAAAAAGGTCCTCTAGGTCCGTTCCAATTTATTCATTTTTGGAAAGGTTGAGCAATTTAATCGGGGGAAAATGGATCTTTCTTTTTGGACCCATTTTTCTTAGACTAGGGCAGGGGAAGCTGGAGGAAGAGATTACTTAGCATAAAACTCTAAAACTAAGCAAATGGTTTATTTTGTTGCTTGCTTGTGGTTTTAAACAACATTTTGACAATAGCCTCATTTCATTTTAGCATATCCCTTTATCTTTTATGGAACTGATGGTACTGTCTTAATGCGGAGTAAAATGAAGAGGGTGGGAGAGCATGCTTTTTGTCTTTTAAAAGACAAGCATTCCATGCCAGTATCTTCTTACTTGCAATGCTGTTGCATGTGAGATCTCATTAACTGTTTATTCAGGGTTAGAAATTTTCAGTGTCATATATACACACATGTGTACATTTTTTTCTATTCCTCTGAAATTAATGTACTCAAGGTTCTTATATACCAGTATGTAACCAATTCTTGAAGAGTAGTACCATTTTGCTTACTCATGTAAATAAAAGCAATATTTTTATAACTTCTTTAAATGTAGCAATATTGAATTGTATGTTCTCCAGCTTTAACTTTAATCCCCTATCTTTATGCTCTCCTTAACCATCCAGTTTTATGCCCTCTGCCCTACATATCCCAGGTACACATAATAGCAAAAAAATCGATTCCAGCTTGAAAAGATAATACTACTATTAACTAACAATGTGCAAGACTTTGTTCTAAGCCCTTTACACATATCCTATATAATAAAAGGCTAATATGCAAATCGACCATACGGTGGAACAACCAGTCGCTATGATGTGCACTGACCACCAGGGGGCAGACGCTCAATGCAGGAGCTGCTCACTGGTGGTCAGTGCGATCCCACAGGGAGAGTGCCGCTCAGCCAAAAGCTGAGCTCATGGCTGGCGAGCGCAGCGGTGGTGGCAGGAGCCTCTCCTGCCTCCGCGGCAGCGCTAAGGATGTCCAACTAATGGGGAGTGGGCCTAAGCCGTAAGTTGGACATCCCCAGAGGGCTCCTGGACTGCAAGAGGGTGCAGGCCAGGCTGAGAAACCCCCCCCCCAAGTGCATGAATTTCATGCACCGGGCATCTAGTTAGCTCATAATAAACTATGATGGAGGAACTATTGTTATTCCCATTTTACAGGCACGGCTACGATTTGAATCCAGACTGCAACTGTCAGAGTTCACCTAGTCCAGTTCTTCATTTTGTGATTAAGAAATAGATATAACAGTTAAATGACTTGCTTAAAGACTTTTTTGTTGAAGATAGAACCTGTTAGGTCTGATCAAATAATTGAATCGATACCCTCCTCACCCCCCAGGAACTGACCTTTAGACCACTTCATAACTGGCATTCCCTTTCTCTTAAACCACATTTTATTTGCTAAGACCACATTCCACTTGCTAAGACCATTATCTTTTCCTTTAGGACCCACCCAGAGAATTCTCTGTCCAGAAAAAGCCCTCCTTGAGTCCTTTAAAATCTCTGACTTCCTGTCACTGGGTGCTGGCACCATTTTGGGGCTCAGCCCATCTGATTTTCCAGATGACCTAATAAATTAATAATTCTTTACCCTTTTTGGCCTTGTGTGTTCCTTTATCGGTGACCCTAACGGAACCAGAATCAGAACACAAGTATGTTTCCTGATTCATAAATACTTTTATTTTAGGAAAAGCTATTAAAAATTCTTCCATTCCTCTAGGTACATTTTAGAACAGGGTGGGGAAAAGTAGGTTTATAGTTGTAATATAAATAAGTAGTACAATAATTATATAAAAAACAACCCAAGAATAAACATATTTCGCATACACATAATTGTAAACCTACTTTTGCCCATTCCTGTATTATAACTTATATCCTGTCTATTTCTCTATCTATCCACCTGCAAGCAAGGAATTAATCAACAGGAATCCCAATAAAGCACCATCCAGGTTTCTAATCCTCTCTCAGCCACACCCATAATCTTAGTCCAGTGATGGCGAACCTATGACACGCGTGTCAGAGGTGACACGCAAACTCATTTTTTGTTGTTGATTTTTCTTTGTTAAATGGCATTTAAATATATAAAATAAATATCAAAAATATAAGTCTTTGTTTTACTATGGTTGCAAATATCAAAAAATTTCTATATGTGACACGGCACCAGTGTTAAGTTAGGGTTTTTCAAAATGCTGACACGTCGAGCTCAAAAGGTTCGCCATCACTGTTTTAGTCATTTCAATGAATTAGCTCCATCTTTCCTTGTCCTATCCCATCTTTACTTCCTCTCTTTTATGTCCCACATCCATTTTTTCCAATAATCAAAACATGCCCAGAATCTAACTGCTTACCACCCCTGCTACAACCTACAGCATCTCTTTTGGATTATTGCCTTAGCCCAGGGACAGATTTTCTTGCTTCTGTCCTTGCTTTTCTTTGAGTCTATTCCCAACACAGAGAGCAAAGTAAACTTCTTAAAAAGGAAGTCAGATCATACCCCGCCTCTGTTCAAAGTCTCCCATGGTTTCCCCAAACAAAGAAAAAGCCAAAGCCCTGGATGACTCTAAGACTCCCCTCCTTGCCTCTCTGACCCCGCAAACTGCACACGCAGCTTCGTGTTCCAGGAGGGCGCTACACAAGCTCTCACCCACAGTCTCTAGTGTTGCTTTTCTCTCCGCTTAGAACCCTCTTTCCCAGAATGGCTTCCTCCCTCCTTCTGTGCTCAACTGCCATTTTTTTTCAGTCAGTCTTCTGCTTGCCACCCTATTTTAAATCATATTTCCCATCACCGATATTTCTTATTCCCTTGCTTTACTTTTTCTCTGAGAGATAGTGATGTGTTTCTATCTGTGAATATTACAGGATGGCACTCTCAACATTGTCAGAAGTTTTTAAAAGAAATTAATTTCCAACAATTGTTAAAATGCCCAAACTTCCAAATGATTCACTTAAAGAAATGAGTCAATCCTAAAAAATTTAAGGTACCTCTGTAATAATGTCACTGTCACTGACATTTTATTTTGCTTCGCTCATTATTCCTAAACCAATGTCTGTTTCCCACGAGCATATAAAATGCTGTCTTGAATACCACACATCTCCTCCAGGTGCCCTGTATACCTCTTAATACCTCTCAACACCCCAAAATGTTTGTTGTTATTTATTTTGCTTAATTGTTAGGGGCAGAAATAGAATATTGGGGACCAACTACAATTATAAGAAACTAGAGGCCCGGTGCACAAAAATTTGTGCACTGGGGGGGGGCAGGGGGGTCCCCCAGCCCGGCCTGTGCCCTCTCGCAGTCAGGGACCCCTCGGGAGATAACGACCTGCTGGCTTAGGCCTGCTCCCGGGTGGCAGAGGGCAGGCCCAATCCCTAGGTGCAGCCCCTGGTCAGGCTCGGAGCAGGGCCGATTGGGGAGTTGGAGCGCTGCCCCGTCATGCACAGAGCAGGGGGGATCGGGAGGTTGCGATGCCACCCTCAGTCACGCTCGAGGTAGGGCCGATTGGGGGGTTGGGGCACCGCCCCCTGTCACACTCAAGGCAAGGTCGATGGGGAGTTTGCGGCTCCACCCCCTGTCACCCACAGAG